TTCTTAAATCTCTCAAACCAACCTTTGCTGGCCTTAAATTCACTCAAATCATCACTAGTTGCAGGCATTTTTTTAATTAAATCCTGATGCAACTTCCTAGCCTTTTCACTTATGATCACTTGAGAGATGCTATCTCCTGCTATCTGTTTTTCATTTATCCACACCAATAAGAGTCTCTCAACATCTTCCATCACTTGCGATCTCTGTTTCGAAAACACAGTTGAACCTTTGGCAAGAACAGCTTCCTTGATTGCTGTTTTCTTGGACACAATAGTGGCGATGGTTGATTGGGGTTTACTATACAACCTGGCCAGCTCAGAGACACGCACTCCACTTTCATACTTAGCAATGATCTCTTTCTTCATCTCTATAGTAATTCTCACCCTTATTCCTGTAGGGTGGGCACTAGAAGCTTTCTTGGGGCCCATGGTCACTTATTTTGCAGATAAAATCACCAAAAACACTGTAATAATACAAAATGTTCCGATTGCATGCTTGGATGTTACCGCGGAGGCTGGCTGGTAAACAATGCCACCGGCGGAGCATGTGAGGCTGGCTCAGGATGCACATTAGACGCGTCTCGGACGAATAGCGTTGAGCGGGTTTTTTAGCGGTATGCGAGACAAAATCTTAGCGATAAAATGTATCGGTATGCGGATTTAACGTTATGTGATGCCAACGGTATGGGGGGGTCCACTGTATTCCCTTCTTTGCCTCCATAGATAATGTTTTTTTGTCTCCACATATACCTCAGTGCACCACTCGCCATTTTTTTCCTTCATCAATTCTACGATTAACGTCATCCTTCATACATCCATCCGCTGACACATCAACTCCCAAATATCTGAAAACATTCACATCTTTCATACTCCTCTCCAATTTGATAACAATTTTTTTTTTTTTATCTAAATCATTTGATACCTTCATCACCTTACTCTTTTCTGTGTTCACTTTCAACTTTCTACCTTTATGCACTCTCCCAAAGTCATCCACTAACCTTTGCAACATTTCTTCAGAATCTCTCATAAGCACAGTATCATCAGCAAAAAGTAACTGTGTCAATTCCCATTTTGTATTTGATTCCCCATAATTTAATCCCACCCTTCTCCCCAACACCCTAGCATTTACTTTTTACAATCCCATCTATAAATATATTAAACTACCATGGTGACATTACACATACCTGTCTAAGACTCACCTTTACCGGGAAGTAGTCTCCCTCTCATCTACACACCCTAACCGGAGCCTCACTATCTTCATAAAAACTCTTTACAGCATTTAATAACTTGCTACCTGTTCCATATACTTGCAACATCTGCCACATTGCTCCCTTATCCACTCTGTCATATGCCTTTTCTAAATACATAAATGCAATGAAAACTTCCCTTCCTTTATCTAAATACTGTTCACATACATGCTTCAATGTGAAGAGTTGATCTACACATCCCCTCCCCACTCTAAAACCTCCTTGCACATCTGTCATCCTACATTCTGTCTTGCCTCTAATTCTTTCAGTAATAACCTTACCATAAACTTTTCCTAGTATACTCAGTAAACTTATCCCTCTATAATTTTTACAACCTCTTTTGTCCCCCTTCCTTTTATATAAAGGAATTATACATGCTCTCTGCCAATCCCTAGGTACCCTCCTGTTTCATACCTTTTTTTTTTTTTTTTTTTTTCCTCCATCAAACCGGCCGTATCCCACCGAGGCAGGGTGGCCCAAAAAGAAAAACAAAAGTTTCTCTTTTTAACCCTTTCAGGGTCCAAGGCCAAAATCTGAAGTGGTGCCCCAGTGTCCAAGAATTTTCAAAAAAAAAAAAAAATTTTATTTTTTCTTATGAAATGGTAGAGAATCTTTTTGTGAATGTAATAAAACAAAAAGTACAAAATTTGATGGAAAATTGACGAAACTATGCTCTCTTGAATTTTGATGTGTCAGCGATATTTACGAATCGGCGATTTTGCCGACTTTGACTCCCATTTTAGGCCAATTACATTATTCCAGTTGACCAAATTCTTAGCTATTTCACTAGTATTACTTCTATTCTATCGATTGAGCACAAGAAATCGCCAAGTCAACTGTTTCAACTACAAAAAAAAGTGACCGGAAATTGGTAATTTGGCCAATTTAACACAGTTCAAAATGTTCCAATTTCAAAACAGGGTCCAGAATAAACAATGTAGGTATTCCTGGCACTAAACTAACATTTCCTCTGTTCATTAGTTATGTTTTTGGGGCTTTACAAATAAATTCCATTTTGATTTTTTTCCACCAAAAAATAAAAGATTTACTGTTATGCATATTGTAATAATTGTATAAAATATCATCACCACATTTGTGAATGTATATAGACCGACCACTGGCGTGTATTAAAACGTGTGAGGTCGTTTGTTTACTCTTGAACATCGGCAAAATTTAACATTTCCGCCACTTTGAGCTCAGTTTCAAGCCATTTCCAGTGCTAACACCAATCAAAATTATCTCTATTTCTGTAATGTCTTCCATTCTATCAAATGAGACCAAGAAATCACAAATACAACTATAAAAAACATACGAAAAAACACTGCAAAGTCGCTGTTTTAATCGAAAATCATGGTCTCAGTTTTTTTCCTCTCATTATACACAGTGTGCTGCAGGATTTGCTTTATGTGGTGCACACATACCACATAGATGTATTCTCTCATATCTAGGCCCAAATTTACCACTCAGTTTATCAGAGTGAGCTGAGCTCATGACGTAGATCTACGGTTTGGACCCTGAACGTAAAGCCGTAGATCTACGGGACGGACCCTGAAAGGGTTAAATTTAGTAATTTATACAGGAGAAGGGGTTACTAGCCCCTTGCTCCCGGCATTTTAGTCGCCTCTTAGAACATGCATGGCTTACGGAGGAAGAATTCTGTTCCACTTCCCCATGGAGATAAGAGGAAATAAACAAGAACAAGAACTAGAAAGAAAATAGAAGAAAACCCAGAGGGGTGTGCTTGTACATGTACGTGTAGTGTGACCTAAGTGTAAGAAGTAGCAAGACGTACCTGAAATCTCTCATGTTTTTGAGACAGAAAAGAGGACACCTGCAATCCTACCATCATGTAAAACAATTACAGGCTTTCATTTTACACTCACTTGGCAGGATGGTAGTACCTCCCTGGGCGGTTGCTGTCTACCAACCTACTACTTAGGTTTCATACATGAAACAAAAATACCAACCACTCCAACACTATATCCTCCCCTGCTTTTAACATTTCTATCATGATCCCTCAGTTCCCGCTGCTTTACCCCCTTTGAGTCTACGTAATGCCTCGTGCACCTCCCCTACACTCACATCCTGCTCTTCATTCCTAAAAGATGGTAAACCTCCCTGGCCAGTGCATGAAATTACCGCCTCCCTTTTTTCGTCGACATTTAAAAGTTTCTCAAAATATTCCTGCCATCTGCCCAATACCTGCATCTCCCCATCTACTAACTCCCCTACTCTGTTTTTAACTGACAAATCCATTCATTCCCTAGGCTTTCTTAACGTGTTTATCTCGCTCCAAAATTTTTTCTTATTTTCATCAAAATTTCTTCATAGTGCCTCTCCCACTTTATCATCTGCTCTCCTTTTACACTCTCACCACTCTTCACCTTTTACTCTCCATATACTCTTCTCTTCTTATAACACTTCTGCTTTGTAAAAACCTCTCATAAACTACCTTTTTTGCTTTTTATCACACCCTTTACTTAATCATTCCACCAATCACTCCTCTTTCCTCCTGCACCCACCCTCCTTTAGCCACAAACTTCTGCCCCACATTCTAATACTGCATTTTTAAAACTATTCCAACCCTCTTCAACCCTCTCACTACTCATACTTGCACCAGCTCGCCTATCTGCCAATAGTTGCTTATATCTCACCCGAACTTCTTCCTCCCTTAGTTTATACACTTTGACCCCTCCCTTACTTCTTGTTGCCATTTTCCTTTTGTCCCATCTCCCATCAGAACACAGAGGGATTAAAAAACCCCTGTGATAGAGGTATTTTGTCAGTTGAAAGGTGAGAGGTAATACCAAGAGCTAAGGCTCGTGGTTTACTCCCATACTCCTGCTAACTCAAATAGTAATTACCTACACATGAAAGTCTGAGAGAGCAGGAAATCATCAGGAATAAATAATTACTGGTCCATTTATTGACCATAGTGTTTGGATACTGATTAATCTCTGCCAATACCCTGTTGTTCCTGAAGTCAACTTCCATCTTGTGCCATTGTCTTCTTTTTGGTAATGTCACTTGTTTTCTTGGAGCATATAATCTGCATATTGTTTTTCATTCCTTACAATGATCAGTCTATCATAGGTCTCTCTAAGTTTGTAAGATAGAGCTTCCAATTCCCAAATGTATTACAGTGGACCCCCGCATAACGATTACCTCCGAATGCACCATTATGTAAGTCGTTGTACTTAGTTTGGGTCTGAATGGACAATCTACTACAATTTCGTATGAACAAATTCGGTCAGTATGGCACCTAACATACTTCTGGATGAAAAAAACGTTTATAACGGTCCACTGTATTGCAGTGTTTTTGCAGTAATACTTATGTGCCATGCAGTGGCAACCATACAAGTCTATCACATCCAACTAGGTACATTTCTATGCACCATAGGGAGGTTAGCATGAGCCCCACTGTGACCACAAATGCAGGTTTTTACAAATTCCACACCAGCATGGTTGTGCTATGCTCTGGCTCAAGTCCCCCTTAAAACTGCATGGAGCCAGTGCTAACATTCCTATGATGTATAGAAATATACCTAGTTTGATGAATCTTGTTAGGCCAGCATGGGCCATAGATTAGCACACTGGCCTGAAAGTTTTAGGACTCGATTATCATTTGTTTAAGCCTCATTTATGTGATGTTTGCAATCATGTTAAGATTTCACGAGTTGTGCATGAAAAGTGTATGTAACATAATTTGTACATTAAATAATTGCATTGCTAATGAAAGATTGGAAATTCTTAGGACCTGAAGCAAATATCCTTGAGCCAAGTCCTCAGCAGTGCCATCGCATCTTCTTGGAGAATCCAATTCTTTCAATTGAGGATCTTGAGGTGAGTTGCAATGAAATTAAAGAATTTCAAATGGTATTCACGTGGGTGGATCTGAGAGAACTAGATCTAAAGAAAGGAAAGGGGGCATATTAGTGCACTAAATTACAGAATTACATGGATTATAATGAACAGTGGATGTGAGAAGTGGGTCGAAGTGCTCAGGCACTTCGGGGGCAACAAATACACAAAGATTGCTTGATTGATTTTGGGAAATGTTAAGTGTCTGTGTGTTGCACAGAGCACTGTAGATAAGTATAAAGTGCCAGAGCTAAATGATAATGGGGGCCTCTAATTTAATTACAGAGAGATTTGGTAATAGGTAATACTATTTTTAACCCTTAAACTTTCCAAATGTAGATCTCCGTTTGCTTGCGTAGTGCTCCGAACGTAGATCTACGTTTTTTTTTTTTTGTTTTACATTCTTCCTTGTGGAGAAAATCAAGGGCGGAGAGCTATGCGTGCAAATGTAGATTAACGTTTGGACAGTTTAAGGGTTAAAAAAGAGGATAAATAGATTTAACATTAATGAACATTGTTTACATAAGGGTAAGGGACATTTTATCACATTTATGTATTTAGGAAAGGCATATAAGGTGGATAGGTGAGCAGTGTGTCGAATGTTGAGAAAGTGATTGCAAATAAAATGAGGGTGATAGATCTGACAGGGAAAGTAGGTCAGTAGATTTTCATCTTTGCGAATGCTCATGTCTTGGTTGGTAGTATCCTGTGCTCACACAAGAGGGTCCAGGGATTGATCCCATCATGAGTGAAACATTGGGTATGTTTCAAAAACCTGCTCCTCAATTCACCTAATGGTAAGTAGGTACCTGGGTGTTACAGCTATTGTGGGTTGCATCCTGGGGAACAAGATTAAACTAAGTTGCCTGAAATGTTCTGGGGCTTTCTATAAGTATGCCAATGAGGTCAGCTAGGTCTGTAATATTTGTATCACATACTTGCTAAAATAGATAATTTCTATTTCTGTCAGATGAAAATTTGCTAGGTAATGATGATTAATTTATTTCAGCATGATACAAAGTTTGTACAAAGGAGAATGACATTTGAGTGTACATGCCTAAAGCCCCTTCACATGCAGAGCATTTCGGGCAAAGTTAAGACTAGCTAAGATTAATAAGGCAATAACAATGAGTAATTTTGCACATGTCACTTAAGCATGTATAATTGTTAAATTTAGGAGTTTACAATGAATACAAAAGAGCTGAATATTTTATTAGTTCATGCTATAGAGCTTTAATAAGTTTAATAGAGAGGAATTACAGGTTTGATAATTAACCTAAAGAGGACACAATGGATTGTTTAACATTTGAGAGGATTACAGACCCTGAGAGTAAGTATGGGATTTCATTTTGTGCTATCAACTAAGAAAGCATCTATCACTTAAAGTAAGGGATACAGTGGACCCTTGGGTAACAGCATTAATTTGTTCTAGAGAGCTTGCCTTTAACCGATTTGAACGTTGGGCCAAATTTTAATTTTCCCCATAAGAAAAAATTCAAATCCAGTTAATCCATTCCAGACGTTCAAGAGTATTAAACAAAATTTTTTTACATGAAACATACATTTCCCTACACAGAAAATAGAGACATGCACAGTAAACAATACTGAAATGACACTTGCCTTTATTGTGGACTTACTGATGAGTGATGAGATGGGAGGAGGGGAGAGATGGGAGATGTACTATTGTTTGGAAGGGGAATCCTCTTCCATAAAGACTTCAGGTAACAAGTTCTTTTCTGGAGTTACCTCCCTTCTTTGTTTTTTAATGCCACTGGGACCAGCTTGAGTCGCTGGACCCCTGTCGCACAAAATACCTGTCCAGAGAGCTCTGTTTCTGGCGTCTTTAAGATTTCCCTAAAATGGGACACAAGAGTGTCATTGTACATGTTGCCAATACAGCTTGCAACAGCTGTGTCAGGATAATGTTCATCCATAAATGCTTGCACCTTTGTCCACATTGTACAAATGTCCTTAATCTTTGATGAAGGCAACTTCCTCCATCTCTCTTCATGAGTTGTGATCTGTTGAGTGGTATTAGGAGGCAAAAACTCCACTTTGATGAAGCTCAACTCCTCCACAATTTGCTCTTGCAAGTTGTGAGGATGAACAGGAACATTGTCCATTTCCAGGAGGCACTTGAGTGACAATTTATTTTCCAGGAGGTATCTTTGCACAGTGGAGCCAAAGATGTCATAGAACCAGTTAAGGAAAATGTACCTAGTAACCCATGCCTTACTGTTTGCTTGCCACAACACACACAATTTAGTCTTGACGACATTGTTTTTCTTGAAAACACTGGGAGTTTGAGTGATACATGAGTAAAGGCTTCACCTTGCAATCCCCACTAGCATTACTACAAAACATGAGAGTTAGCCTGTCTTTCAAAGGCTTGTGTCCTGGGAGTGCCTTTTCCTCCTGAGTAATGTAGGTCCTGTTTAGCCTTTTCTTCCAAAACAGGCCTGCTTTGTCACAATTGAACACTTGGGGTTTTAATTGTTCAGCCTTTATATAGTCCTTGAACTCCTGTACGGACTTTTCAGCCACTTTTTTGTCAGAACTTGCAGCCTCTCCATGCCTTACAACACTGTGTAGGCCACTGTGATTCTTAAATCTCTCAAACCAACCTTTGCTGGCCTTAAATTCACTAACATCAGCACTAGTTTCAGGAATTTTCGTAATTAAATCATCATGCAGCTGCCTTGCCTTTTCACATATTATTGACCGAGAAACACTATCTCCTGATAATTGTTTCTCGTTTATCCACTCCACAACATTTTCTCCACATCTTCGAGTATTTGTGATGTCTGTTTTGTAAGCATACTTGCACCTTTCACAACAACAGCTTCCTTGATTGCCTTTTTGTTGGCCAAGATAGTAGTGATGGTTGAATGGGGTTTGTTATATAACCTGACTAACTCGGAGATGCACTCCACTTTCATACTTTGTGATTATCTCTTTCTTTAATTCAGCAGTATTTTTCACCCTTTTTACCACAGGGTTGGCACTAGAAGCTTTTCTTGTCCCTTGGTGGCTTATTTAGCAGTTACAAGAACTAAAAACAATGGAATAATACAAAATGTATCACATGTACGAGTGGAATCGTCTGGACTGGCTTGTAAACAATGGCACACTGCTGAAGGCAGGGTGGCTCAGGCCAGGCAGACACGTTCGGGACAAATGCCCTTAACAGAGTTCTTGAGCGTTAGCCGAGCCAATATTTTGACGCAAAAAGCGTCGCTATCTGGTATTGGCGGTAGCCAATGCCACTGTTTCCCAAGGGTCCACTGTACTTGTTTAATGTTAAAATAAAAAATCTTAGGTTAAAACAGTAGAAAGTAAGAGATACCTTTGTTTTCTCATGGGTTTTCATTCTCCAGGTAATTAAGGCTACAAAGCACCGAGGATGGCGCACGTATGTTGTCGATATAACCTACCCAATATCAGAAGGCACACACGGGCTTGTTCCAGCATTAGATCGCATTGCGCGAATCTGAAAGCAGCAAAGGGATGGCTCCCCTTGATATGCTTTCGGATAAAAACGGGACCGGGCAGGAAATGAATACTATTTCCGTTACCTAAAACTTGATAATCTTTAAAATTCATCCCTTTTCAGGTCATTATATTAATATTATATGATCATGTAATATATTTCGACTTTTTAAAACTCAATTCTTTTTAAAAACCCCCCCCCCCCCCCCTTATTTATTACATACTCGGGGTAACATTTATAAAGGGGATGGGGGAAATCAGTTAGCCGCACTTGGTCCTAGAGGGGGGGACAGTTAGTTTCAAACGTATATTGGCACACCTGGGGCAAGAGGTAAATTTTTTTTTTTTCTTTTTTATATAAACTGTTTCATGGGAGCTGACGGGTGTGTAAGAAAAAAATACTTTTTTTAAACGACAGAAGTTTCCCTTTTGACCCAGATATGCCACCATTTAGGGGGGCGAATTGAACTCCTGGTAACCAGTTTTTTGGTTCGCAACTCAAAAAAAAATCGACCGACGACAGTTCAAAACTCGGAAAACCAAAAGGGGGGGCACTCGAAAGTCAAGGTCCCTGTACTACATCAATGAAATTTGAGACATTTTTGTAAGTTTCCCACTGGGGTGATTGTAAAAGGGGATCAAGTGAGAAACGTGTGAAAAAATTTTTTTAGAGATTACTGTAAAATTTTTTCAAACCCAAGAACATTATGAGTGATGTAAAAAATAATCATTTCAGCATCTATGTTTTTTTGCAGTGGCAAAATCTGTGGAACAGATAAATGGGGTATTAACAAAAAGATTCAGTGTTGAGGATCATACCCTATCAGAATCATATTAAGATTACAGTATCAATACTATTATTAACACCACCACCTGTAAATTTTTTTTTATATAATTACCTCCATTTCATGGGGGTTAATGTTTGTTCAATTTTATGTATCCCTTTTAGGCTGCCGTCAGTACATTACGGCATTGGGGAAACCCCAAAACACCGCTAATTAAGAAAAGGATCTATGAAGGTTGGGAACATCCTCGAGACTGGGGGGCAAGGAAGTTCTTATAGTTACAAGTGTCACTAGTTATAGTGGACAAAAAACTCAACTGGATTTAAAAAAAAAAAAAAGGGGGGGGGTTTTAATTGATTTTCAAGAACATTTCTTTTTTTTTCTTCTTCAATTTTTACATTTAGTATAGAGAACTTCAAAAAAAATTTTTCTTTTGTTGATTAAATTTTATAAAAAGAAAAATAATTCAACGTTAAAACTTATTAACCAATACTAATAAAAAATTTGGAAAGGGGTTCACAAGGGAAATATACTTTATGAAATACATTTCCTTTCCCCGTCAAGTTTCTTTTAGACCAGAAAAAAAAAAACTAATAATTTGTCACAAAAAAGGTTTATGGTTTTAAAGCAGCACTTGGAGAAAAGATACCCATTGAATTTTTTTATTAACCGTGTATGACCCTCATCACTACAACTACAAATCCACAACACATCCTAAACTACTCAACCAGTTGAGCAGGTGACCCTCAGAGAACATCCTGGCCCTTTTTTTTGTCCTCTGCATCAGTGACTTGCCACAGCCACCGGGATCTTAAACCCCTTTAAAATGTCGTGACCCCGGGTCACAAATTGTTCTCAAGTTGAAGAATTTAAAAAAAAAAAAATAGAAATTATAGGAATTTTTTTTCCCTATGGGAATGAAAAAACCAAAATTTATATTTGGGGGAAAACTTTCGGATTACGCTCTCACGAGTTACGGGCGGTGATGCACATCGGCATTTCTCCCCCCTTGAGCCCAATTTTGGCCAATTCCCTTGTTTCCCGTTAAACCCAAAATCATAGCTATTTTGCTGAAACTTCCCTTTGTTTTAAATTTACGATCAAAAAACTGCCCTTTGCCAATTTCAGCACCCATAAAGTGGTCAAAATTGGGCCCTTTTAACCCAATTTCACACAAATTTCAAAAATCCAATTTTTAAATAGGGTCCAGAAAAAACAATGATAATTCTTGGGACTAAAAAGCATTTTCTCCGTTTGTTAGTCATGTCTCTAAGCCCTTCTTAATTACTCTTGTTTTTCCATTTTGAATTTTTATTTACACAAAAAGCAAAGATTATTGTTATGCAGACACTGCATTTTTGTAATAATTGTAAAAATGTCAACCCATTCGTGAGGTATTAACGGGCTGTTGGGACAATTGAACGGTGACATCTTTTTTTTTTACTCTTAAAACAGCGGAAAAAAATTAACTTTTTCCGCACTTTGGGGGTAAATTTTAAAGGTACTTTTTTCATGGGAAACCAATCAAAATCATCTCTATTTTTGAAATATACTTCTATCCCAAAAGGGAAATGTCCTTGGCCCCTCTCTTTTTCCTATACAAAAATTTACCTACCCCAAAAGCTTTGCAATTTTCTAAACCCACACTATTTTCGATGACATACTACGTCTTCTCCCCCCCAGCCCGACACGCTAGCCAATACCGTAAATACAGAATTTCAGAAAAAATCTACCTGGGAAAGGCTAACAAACTTTCACTAAACATTTACAAAAACCTCTTCATTCGTTTGGGAAAGAGTACAGATGTCCCTCTTAACATAATGATAACCAACATCACCCTATAACAAAGCAACTGAGGAAAGGTTGGAATCCACCTTGAATAAGCAACGTAAAATTTATAAATATACAACAAATTTCAAAAAATTCAACTGGATTTAGGGAAAAAAATACGGGTTGGGCTCACAGTTTCAGCACATGCTTTTTTTTTTTCACTCTCTTATTTATCACTTATATAACTCCTTTTTGGAATTTTTCATGGGCTAACAAAATAATAATCTAGACTATAACTTACCCAACCAAACTAATAAAATGATAAAAATTCACAAAATATAGGTCAGCACTTCCTCCTTCAATTTCAATAAAAAAAACCCAATATCTATCACAAAATTTCATGCATTATGCACCTTGGAAATTACCCATTGAATTTTTTTTAACCTGGTATAACCCCCTCCCCTACATACAAATCCTGCAACCTCCAGAACACCCAATGAGCTATACCACAAAGAAGATCACTCCCCTTCGATGTTCCTCGTGCATCAACTATGCAAAAACGCTCAATTGCACTTTGACGCCCCTAAAACTGGAACTCATCTGAAGAATTATAAAAAGAAACACTACTGAATTATAAAATTTCTTTCTCTAAGATAATCACCCCAAACCAAAATAAATATTGGGGAAAACACGATACCTTACAATTAGTTGTATATCCCTTAAATTTTCCACAATTATTAAAATCACATGAAAATTGTTAAACCAAAAACCCCCAAACTAACCATAAATTAAAATTTTTTGAAATTACACACCTAACAAAACATCCATTTCTACCCGAATAACATGTAACAATGCATGACAAAATAGACTTTCTCCTTTGTATATATCTCAACTTTAGCTTATTAATCTGTTTTACCCTTGAAATTTTTATCACAAAAGAAGATTATACTGCTTAGATTCATTTTAAGTTAATTTTAAAGCCAAGCCCATTGCTACTTGATTAGAATGAGTGGCTTTGGATACTGCTCTTTTTTTTTTTTTGAACCGCTGAAATTTCCGCACAAATTTTTAAATAAATTAAAAAATCAAAAAATTTTTTTGAATAAATAATTAAATGAGACAAAGAAAATGAGAATACAACCATAAATACCATACGAAAATACACATCAAAATCAGCGTTTTAAACTAAAAACCATGATCTGAGTTTTTTTTTTCTCATTATTCACTGCATGCTGCAGGATTTTTATACTGCGCACACTGACCATGCAGACCCATTCTCTGACATGTAGGTCTACCAGCTTTCTCTAGCTAGATTTGAGGCCACTAGAATTTTGGCGTAATACTACAGCACCAACACTGGCTTGCAAGCTGTAGTATTACGGCACCAACAGTGAAAGGGTTAAGTAAAAGTAACCCAGAAATGCAACATTTTCATAAAATGAGGATCACCTGTATTATATTACATGAGCGTTTAATTACTCAAGACTTTGTTGATGTGTTAGTTTTTAGAACTGAGTAATAATAATCTTGTGATTCAGAGAAGTGCATCACATGTGTGTACTCCTGGGCTATGGTGGTGATGCTGTCTGCCCATACTTAGTCTTTGAGACAATGGACACTCTTCGCTCTGAGGGTGTCATTAGTTCCAGTCTTACCAATAAGGATATATACAAGGTAAGTTGTCTTTACTCAAATCAACTGCTTGAATATATTAAAAATGTATTATAATTTTTGTTTTACATTAAAATAAATGGTCATGTTTATTCACAGGATGCTGTTCATTAATGAATAAACTGTAATCTTAGAATATCTCAAGCTTGGTGAATTTTTGAGGGCAATCATGAACAGATGGAACTCGCCTTGTTAATTTCCATATAATATTTTCAGAACTACATTGCTGCGATGGAACGTGGTCTCTCCAAAGTGATGGCCAAGATGGGCATTTCAACACTCCAGTCTTATAAAGGGGCACAGATCTTCGAAGCTGTTGGCATTTCAGAGGAAATCATAAACAAATGCTTCAAGGTAATGCTCTGAATATGTTTAAGATCTTTAGTTAGTTCTTTTGTTCAATTGTCCTAATGTTCAACAGGGCAGTTTATAAAAAGAAAATTAAATGCTTTAGTTATTTTGTGTATTTGTTAACTAATGTAGGTTTTCTTCATTTGCAGTCTGTGTACTTATTACTAATTGGTATTAAAAATGACTAATGATTTTGAAATTATCACAAATTTTGAGGACACTCGCAAATAATTTTGGTTTTTAATGATAGTGGTACCTTGAGATATGAACTTTTTTTTGTTCCAGAAGGCTGTTCGAGTTCCGATACCAAACGAATTTGTTCCCATAAGAAATAATGTAAATTAGATTAATTCGTTTCATACCCCCAAAAATACACTTACAAAAGCACTTTCATAAATACACTTACATAATTGTTAGCGTTTTGAGCTGTTTGTATCCCACGGTACCACTGTACTTTCTCATATGCCAATAGTATATAACTATATGGTCTATGGAAAATAGGTAGTAAAAGGTATTTTCAGATTGCTTGTAAAATTGTATACATTAAGATGGCAGTACTATGAAATAAGTACCAAGACAAAAGCAGTTAGCTTGTGACCAACAGTGTGGGATAGTTGTTAATTGTTTAAGACATTTCAGTTATCCAGTCAAAAGTGAGAAAAAATGAGATTGAGCCAGAAGCCTTGGTGAGGTAGGAGACACAAGGTTGGGTCAAGGCATGTGCATTCTGTAGATTAGAGTATTTTACATTAAACTTAATAAAGGCAGGCATGTACTGAAATGAAACAAGGGCTAAGATGTATGTTATGAATATTCAAAATAAGGCTGATTGAACAAGAAAGTATCTTGTTCAAGTTAGAAAAGGGATACTTATGGGAAAAGGAATAATGGATAGCTATGGTTGCTGGCATGACAGAAAAGAGAATTATTAATGCCAACAAGGTGAATAATTGTCTTGTACTCTTAAATACACCTTAACATGCTCACTCTGCCCACCCTTCTCCAACAGTTCCATCTTTGCTGGCAAGATGGATTTCTTAATTGATAAGATTACTACATCAATTGTCCCCTACCATATGATTGGCCAGTGTCCTTCACTTGCACCCTTTTTACCCCCCACCATTTTTTGCCTCTGCCATGCAGCACTGAATGGCCCTTAAAGGTTCACCACTACCTGGAGACAACAATACTTAAGTTCTTAAAACTGTTAGAAAGGGAGTGGCCATCTTTACCAATATATTGGAGAGGGCAAGAGAAGCAGAAAATAGAATAAACATTGGAAATAACAGTTGGAGAAGGTATGAAATGGATTGCTATGAAGTTTACTAAACAAAATGTAGGTTTAATGTAAAGAGGATGAAATGTGTGTTACGATAATTTAAATTAGAAATATGGGGAAGATAAAGTAAAAGAAAGGTTGGACAAGGAAACAGAAAATATTTTAGCATGTGAGTAGGCAGTGTTTGTGAAATTGGGAAGATGGTTAGGATGAATGTGGTCAGATATTTGGGAGTTGACTTGTCAGCAGATGGTTTTATGAAGGACGAGGTTAACCATAAAATTGATGAAGGAAAAAAGGCAAGTGGTGCATTGAGGTACCTGTGGAGACAAAAAACATTATCCATGGAGGCACAGAAAGGGATATACAAGAGTATAGTGGTACCAACACTTGTATGGATGTGAAGCATGGGTTGTAAATGCTGCAGTGAGGAGGAGGCTGGAGGCAGTGGAGATGTCATGTGTAAGAGCAGCGTCTTGTGTAAATATTATACAGAGAATTTGTAGTGTGGAAATTAGGAAGAGGTGTGGAGTTATTAAAGTATTAGTCATGAGGGATGAAGAGGGGTTGTTGAGGTGGTTTAGTCATTTAGAAAGGATGGAAGAAAGTAGAATAACTTGGAGAGCGTGGAAATCTGTAATGGAAGGAAAGCAGGGTAGGGGCTAAACAAGATTTTGTGGGAGAGGTACTTATACTTCCAGTGAGCATGTTAAGAGTGAATGGAGACTAATGGTTTTTGGGACCTGACGAGCTGTTGGAGTGTGAGCAGGGTAATATTTTGTGAAGGGAGTCAGGGAAACCGGTTAGCCGGACTTGAGTCCTGGAAATGAGAAGTACAATGCCTGTACTTTAAAGGAGGGGTTTGGAATATTGGCTGTTTGGAATGACACTAAACTGTTGAATCTGGGCTCATCTGCAGAAGTCAGTGATTGTGGAACGATGTTTAAGTGTTGGATATGGTTTTTTTTTTTTTTTTGGGGGGGGGGGTCACCCTGCCTTGGTGGGAAATGGCTGATGTGTTAAAAAAAAAAAAAAAAGCTAGGCAGAGAGAGTGACTGCAAAGAATGTAAATTTTAGAGGAGAGAAATAAAGTATCACATATTAGAGAATGAGGAAAAATATAAAAAAGAACTCTTAACTTTGGGTTCATAAGGTCGGTAGCAGTTTGTAGTAATGAGGAAAAAAAGGTCTGTCACAAAACTGTAGAGATGAATAATAAGGAAAAGTAATAGCTAGTTAGATTCAGATTGGTCTTTACACTTTGTACTAGACAGAGCAAGATTAAAAGCAACCAAAGATGTGAAGATAGGTTTTTAAATCAAAACTGCTCAAAATTGGGGTAAGATGGGATAATATGGAATTTTGGTGAAACTAACAAGGATTCAAATAAGTTTGCATAGTAAAAGTATTTATAAAATGTCTTGTAATACTGTAACTGGTTATTTTTCAGATTGCATTTTTATTAATGTTTGAGTGCATAGAAGTTGTTTTCTTTCTTTGCCAGGGTATGCTTTTATTGGAGGAGTTTACCTTTGAAACCCTGGCTAGTGAATCGCTTGAACGTCACACACTCAGCTATGGAGATAATGAATGTGATACTCTGGTGCTAAGAAACCCTGGCTACTATCACTGGAGAAGTGGTGGAGAGAAACACATAAATGACCCTGTGTCTATTGCTAATCTGCAGGTTTGTAATTTTAGTTGGTATAGTATTTAATTTAATTTTTTTTTCTTGCACACTGGCTGTCTCCATTCACAAAGTGCAGCAATTTAAATTCTTGGAAAACTGTAATGTACACAACTCTTCATAAGGAAGAACAAAAAATTTGTCTAATAAATCATGGAACAGGCTTGAATCCATGGCAAATGAATCCTAGAGCTCTGTTGCCATGGGTTCAAGCCCCACCCATTCCCTGAGCTTGACTCAAGAAATCATAATAACATGATTCCAAACAGATCACAGTATGAGTGGGGGTTAGAACCCATGGCAAAAACTTGGATTTGTGGTCACAATGGGGCCTATGTTAACATCTCTATGATGTATAAGTACACCTAGTTGGATGAATCTTATTGTAGCCAGCTGACCCAGTGGCTTATGCGCTGGCCTGGAGTTTTAAGATCGCTTGGTATGGGTTCTAACCCCACCCATACCATGGTTCATTCCATGATATGTTTGCATTTGCGTTAGTACAATTTTGCAAGTCAAATTTGCCTATTCATCAACTTGATAAGCTTTCAGTACTGTTGACTACAAAATCATTTCGTTAATGAATATTAAATCTGTTTTGTTTTCCAGGATGCTTCAAGAACCAATAACAAGTCACAGTATGACAAGTTCAAAGAATCAACTATGCAAAGTGTCAAAGCATGTACCTTACGTGGACAACTGGAGCTTGTAAAATTGGAGAATCCAATTGACATATCGGAGGTAATTCCTTTGTTGTTGAAATATTGTATGGTATTTATGAATCAAATTGGGGAGGAGGAGTATGGAAGAAGTGAATGTTTTCAGATACTTGGGAGTTGACGTGTCGGCGGATGGATTTATGAAGGATGAGGTTAATCATAGAATTGATGAGGGAAAAAAGGTGAGTGGTGCGTTGAGGTATATGTGGAGTCAAAAAACGTTATCTATGGAGGCAAAGAAGGGAATGTATGAAAGTATAGTAGTACCAACACTCTTATATGGATGTGAAGCTTGGGTGGTAAATGCAGCAGCGAGGGAGACGGTTGGAGGCAGTGGAGATGTCTGTCTAAGGGCAATGTGTGGTGTAAATATTACGCAGAAATTCGGAGTGTGGAAATTAGAAGGTGTGGAGTTAATAAAAGCATTAGTCAGAGGGCAGAAGAGGGGTTGTTGAGGTGGTTTGGTCATTTAGAGAGAATGGATCAAAGTAGAATGACATGGAAAGCATATAAATCTATAGGGGAAGGAAGGAGGGGTAGGGGTCGTCCTCGAAAGGGTTGGAAAGAGGGGGTAAAGGAGGTTTTGTGGGCTAGGGGCTTGGATTTCCAGCAAGCGTGCATGAGCGTGTTAGATAGGAGTGAATGGAGGCGAATGATACTTGGGACCTTACGATCTGTTGGAGTGTGAGCAGGGTAATATTTAGTGAAGGGATTCAGGGAAACCGGTTATGTTAATATAGTCGGACTTGAGTCCTGGAAATGGGAAGTACAATGCCTGCACTTTAAAGGAGGGGTTTGGGATATTGGCAGTTTGAAGGGATATGTTGTGTATCTTTATACGTATATGCTTCTAAGCTGTTGTATTCTGAGCACCTCTGCAAAAGCAGTGATAATGTGTGAGTGTGGTGAAAGTGTTGAATGATGATGAAAGTATTTTCTTTTGGGATTTTCTTTCTTTTTTGGGTCACCCTGCCTCGGTGGGAGACGGCCGACTTGTTGAAAAAAAAAAAAAAATTATGAATCATAAATCAGTATACATTATTATCAAAATGCTTGGCTGTTAAACTTTTGGAGTTTTCATAAAAAATGTAAAAATATTTTAGTTGCTATGATCTACTTGGTATTTTCTCCTTGACACATTGATATGAAGAGCTGTAGAAGCCAGATAATGTTTCTAGAGCTTCAACACTTAATAATTACCTATCATATAAAAAGTATACTCAGGTAGGCCATTTGGTATTAACTAACAGTGGACTATTGTAATTAATTTAAAATTCTAACTGTTAAACTGGTTAAAGGGTATTTATATTAGTGCCTGGGGAGCTACATAGTTTGCAAGAACTCATCTGTTTGTGTTTACAGGGCTCGATTCTCAGATCTTGGGTGTGCACACACACACGTACATGTGCACTAAGTATTTCTATTTGAGGTGCTATTAGTGGGCAAGTGCTTCAGGATAATTAGTAGCTAGAATGTATGCAAGTCCTCTGTCATCCAGAGGAGTGAGGAAATAAAAGTAGTAGTAAACAGGGGTAAAGGAAACTTGAATTAATGTTAATCGCTCAGTCGTGGGCTTTGTTTACATAAAGGCTGACAGCAGTAAGTCCTTGCAGCTTGTTTCCTGATTAATGTAGGGAAAAATTCATGGAGAGTGGGGCTTTTAAGAAACTCATTATGATAGATTTATTAAAGACCATAAGGATAGTTAAAGACCACAGGGGTATATTTATTGAAAAATTTTGAAGGAAAAATTTGTTAAAACTCGTGGAATAGCTGTATTAACCCTTTGACTGTTTTCGACGTATAAATACGTCTTACGAGCCAATGTTTCTGACGTATATATACTCAATAATTCTAGCGGCTTCAAATCAAGTGGGAGAAAGCTGGTAGGCCCACATGTGAGAGAATGGGTCTGTGTGGTCAGTGTGCACCACATAAAAAAAATCCTGCATCACACATTGCGTAATGAGAAAAAAAAAACTGATCGTTTTTTTGGAATAAAACGCCGACTTTGAGGTGTATTTTCGTATAGTATTTATCGTTGTATTCGCATTTTCATGGTCTTAGGTGATAAAATGGAAAACATATTACAGAAATAAAGATGATTTTCATTACTTTTACGATGAAAACGACCTTGAAACTGAGCTCAAAGTAGCGGAAATGTTCGATTTTTACCAATGTTCAAGAGTACATAAATCACACCACACGTCCAATACACGTCAACTGGGGAGTCTAATATTCTTTCACTAGTGCACTGATATTATTTATACCATTTTTTACAATAATGCAGTCGTCTGCATAACAGTAAATTTTGTATTTTTTTGTATGAATAAAAAATCAAAATAGAAAGCAATAATAATATAAGAGGGGCCTAGAGATGTGACTAATGAACAGAGCATATGTTATTTTAGTGCCACGAATGTCTACCTTGTTTATTCTGAACCCTATTTTGAAATTGGCATCTTTTTTATTTTGCATGAAATTGGCCAAATTGCCAATTTCTGACCACCATATTGGGTAGTCCAAATTAGTAAAAGGGAGGTTTCTTGTACTCAGCTGATAGATAAAATGGAGTTCTAAAGAAATAGCTATGAGTTTGGTCAACTGGAACAATGGAATTGGCTGAAAATTGGCCTCAAAGTCGGCGAAATCGCCGATACGCATATGTCGCCGAGACCGCTAACTTCGCGGGAGCATAATTCCACGAGTTTTCGACCAAATTTCGAACTTTTGGTGTCATTACCATCGGGAAAAGATTCTCTATCATTTCATAAGAAAAAATAATCTTTTTTTTTTTTTTCAAAAATTGAGCGACATAGAATGACAGTTTCAGAGAGGGGCCTGAAACAGTCAAAGGGTTAAAAGAAAACCAGTTACAAATATGTTGTCTTAAACTATTGAAGAAAATTGATCAGTGTCTTCGACTGTACCAAGAAAAGTTACACGTCAAGAATACAGTGCCTACTAAGGTGACAAAATGTACTTACGTTACCAAGTCTTACTGTATGTGTTAATTGTATTTTTCATTTTCTTAGGTTGAGCCTGCTTCAGAGATTGTGAAGAGATTTGCTACTGGTGCCATGAGTTTTGGTTCCATTTCCATTGAATCCCATACAACATTGGCTATTGCCATGAACCGCGTGGGTGCCAAATCAAACACAGGAGAGGGAGGTATGCAATATATATAGTAATTGTGTTGTTACCAGACTTAAACATTGGATTACAATAGCCTTGCACTTCTAGGAATGCAGGTAAAGAGTGAGTGATGGTGAATATTTACTCTTGGATTAATTTTGAGTGGTCTATTTTACCCTACAATGTTTATGTTGAGGCATATGAATGAACATTACCTAGATAAAGGTAAAGAAGTTAGATATTTTTATGGATTTAGAAAAAACATGATAAGAGGAGCATTGTGGAAGATGTTGTAAATGTATGGAATTGGTGGTAGGCTACCTAAAGCAGTTAAGAGGTGGTAAAGGTCATCCAGCAGGTGTGTGAGCATGTTAAATAGTAGTGAGTGGAGGCAAGTAGGTTCTGTGATTTGACATTGTTGGAATTGAGCAAGGTAACATTAATGAAGGGATTTGGGGAAATCAGTTAGCCACATTTGACTCTTGAAGGTGGTAGGTACAGTGCTTGCATTCTGAAGAAGGGGTGGGAATGTTGAAGGTTTGGAGAGTCACCTATACTGTGATGTCAGCATGCTTCTGGCAAAACCGTGATTGAGTGAGTGATAGTAAAAGCATTTTCTTTGTTAGGTCACACTACCTCAGTGGGAGAAGGCCAAAGTGTTAAAATCTTTCAAAGCATAAAATATGTAGACAGCTTATACTGTCAGCACAGACAGCCTATGCTGTCTGCCAGCTTAGTTCATATTTTGCAGCACTTAAGTGCTGCCCTCTGTAGGCCTACCTAGGTCAGTGGGTCGCTGGGCCCACTCTCACTTCACTGCTGACTGACTCGAGAGGTACAAGTGCTCCCCTCCACGGACTGGCTATTGGTCATTCCCTCACATTGCCCGTTGTGTACTCACTCCTATCCAATTAAAGCCAAACTAGTCCACGGCCATATCATTGCTACCTACGCTACCTCCATCAGCACTAAACCGTTGTTCAACAGCAATAACAAATATAATTTATGAAATTTAAAGGGCCCATTAATCTTGTTAGAAAATAGTTACAATTTCGTGGTCATGGTGTATTATCTGTGTGTGGGCTCTTAATTACAACTTTTAAGACATCTGTCACTTTTAGCTCAGTTGGCTCTTCATATTTTCTATGCTGTCTTGGTCTGACTCCTAACATCTGGCCAATTTTCTTAACATAAGAAAGGAGGAACACTGCAGCAGGCCTGTTGGCCTTTACTAGGCAGGTCCTTTACAATTTATCCCACTAAAAAAACATTTGCCCAACCCAGTTTTCAATGCTACCCAAGAAATAAGGTCTGGTAACTCTATCCACTCATTTGCAAGTTCCACTTGGATCCAACCCCTCTCACTCGTATATTTATCCAGCCTAAATTTGAAACTACCCAAAGTCCTAGCCTCAGTAACCCAACTAGGTAGACTGTTCCACTCGTCAACTATCCTATTTCCAAACCAATACTTTCCTATGTCCTTTCTAAATCTAAACTTGTCTAATTTAAATCCATTACTGCGGGTTCTCTCTTGGAGAGATATCCTCAAGACCTTATTAATATCCCCTTTATTAACCCTTTCAGGGTTTCAGCCGTACTAGTATGGCTTACGCACCAGCGTTTTTGACGTACTAGTACGCCTAAATTCTAGCACCCTCAAATCTAGTGAGAGAAAGCTGGTAGGCCTACATATGAAAGAATGGGTCCATGTGGTCAGTGTGCATGGTATGAGAAAAAAACTTTGATCGTGTTTTTGGATTAAAACAGCGACTTTGCACTGTATTTTCGTATGGTATTTTTTGTTGTATTCTAGTTTTCCTGGTCTCATTTTATAGAATGGAAGACATATTACAGAAATTAAGATGATTTTGACTGGTTTTACAAAGAAAACTACCTTGAAATTGCACTCAAAGTAGCAGAAATGTTCGATTTTTACCAAAGTTCAAAAGTAAACAAATCATGCTATGCGTCCAAAACACGTCAACTGGTGAGTCTAATATTCTTTCACAAGTGTGCTGATAATATTTATACCATTACACCAATGCAGTAGTCTGCATAACAGTAAATCCGTAAATCTTCTATTTTTTTGTGAGAATAAAAATTCAAAGTGGAAAGGAAAAAAATGTAAAAGGGGCATGGGACTGACTAATGAACAGAGGGAAAAGTTATTTTAGTGCCAGGAATGTCTTTCTTGTTTATTGGACCCTTTCGGAAATTGACACTTTTGAAATTGTGTGAAAAATTTGGGAAAAATTTCTACCCTCATCAAGGTCATTGATATATATTATAAACAACGGGCCTAAGACTGATCCCTGTGGTACGCCACTTGTTACAGATCCCAACTCGGATTTAACCCCATTTAAGCATACTCTGCTTCCTATTGGTGAGCCATGACTCGATCCATGACAGCACTTTTTCCCCAGTGCCATGAGCTGTCACTTTTTTTAAGTCTCTGGTGCGGTACTCTATCAAAAGCCTTACTAAAATCTAAATAAACAGTATCAAATTCTTTATCATGATCAACGGCCTCAAAAGCTTTACTGAAGGAGGTTAATAAATTAGTTAGGCAGGAACAGCCACTCATGAATCCATGCTGTGTATCAGTAATCAAGCTGTGCTTATCGAGATGGCTCCTTATATTATCAGCTATAATTGACTAGCAATTTGCCTACAACTGAGGTTAGGCTTATTGGGTGGTAATTTGACGGTAACGACTTGTCCCCTGCTTTAAAAATAGGAATTACATTAGCAGTCTTCCACATATCAGACACTACACCTGTTTGAAGAGAGATATTAAAAATATTAGTCAATGGTTCACAAAGTTTCATTTTACACTCTTTAAGAACCCTTGAAAAAAGTTCATCAGGGCCCAGGGATTATTTTGCTTTAACCGGTCTATCTGTTTGATAACCAATTCAGTAGTGACTGATATTGCATAATTTATCACCATCAGGCCCACTATAAAAATTAAATACATACTGGGATATTGTTAGTGTCTTTCTGAGTGAAAACCGAGAGAAAATAATTAAGAATAGAGCACATTTCATTCTCCTTGTCAGTGAGATGCCCAGAGTTATTTTTCTATAAACCTGGAAAAAACTTTTTGGGTTAGTTTTCGAATCCCTTGAAACTTTAATTTTATAGTCCCGTTTAGCTTTATCCCCTTTTTAACGTCCCTCTTAATGTCAATAAGTACAAGTGTCTGTAGATCCTCATAATTCAATATATATTAAATTATTGGGAAGTACAATGCCTGCACTTTAAAGGAGGGGTTTGGGATATTGGCAGTTTGGAGGGATATGTTGTGTATCTTTATATGTATATGCTTCTAAACTGTTGTATTCTGAGCACCTCTGCAAAAATAGTGATAATGTGTGAGTGTGGTGAAAGTGTTGAATGATGATGAAAACATTTTCTTTTTGGGGATTTTCTTTCTTTTTTGGGTCACCCTGCCTCGGTGGGAGACGGCCAACTTGTTGGGGGGGGGGAAAAAAAAATAAATTATATTCTAAGGATGGGCCAATGCAGTTCTGATTTTTCTGAGACAACCACACTTTTCTCCATGGGGATGTGGAACAATTCCTCCTCCGTAAGCCATGCGTATTGTAAGAGGCGACTAAAATGCCGGGAGCAAGGGGCTAGTAACCCCTTCTCCTGTATATATTACTAAATGTAAAAGGAGAAACTTTCGTTTTTCCTTTTGGGCCACCCCGCCTCGGTGGGATACGGCCGGTTTGTTGAAAGAAGAAGAACCACACTTTTGATTGTTTATATTACTATAGGCAGGCTCCCCGGCCAATCCGTAGTCACATGACCCCCATTTGAACCTTGCTCATAGGCAGTGCATTTCAGGCCTCTTCCTCACTCTTGACCAGACCTAGAGGACAGGCAGATTTTGTAGGCCTGGGCTTGCCACTAATATCAATACATCGCCTCCAGTAACAGTTCGCCAGTTGTATTCTTGATACCATCACTTTCTAAACACAAACCCTGGTAAATGGTGGTACTGTAAGATTCATATGGGTCATACAGTACTGTTTGATTTACAAGCAATGTATCTTATCTTGCTGTCCGTCAAACTTTTCCTACTTTTGGATATGCTGTACTGATTAATGTTCTGTTTTGTTAGTTTTGCTAACAGTAAGCTACTGTATATTATTTTAGTCAGATGAAAACTTCGGTTTTTCTCAAGGAAACTGAATATATAACATTGAAGGTTGTATTCCAGTTCTCATACAGTGAAGCAGGGTGATTTGTGGGGCCCACACCAGTGTAAATAAGAGTGCCTAAGTGTGTAGGCCAATGGATGTGAAAGACAAGGTGAACCATAGAATAGATAAGGAAAAAAAGATAAGTGTAAGTGGATTGTTGAGGGTAAATTAACTTATGGAGGTAGGAAAGAGGAATATATCAGAGTATATGGATGTGAGGCATGTGCTTTAAATGTTGCAGCAAATGAAGTTTTAGGCAGTGGAGAAATCACGTTTGAGGGTGATGTGTAAGGTGAATATTATGCAGAGAATTTGGAAGGTGGAAATCGGAAAAATAGTGTGGGGTTACTAAAGGTATTAATTGAGAGGGCAAAGGAGTTGCTGAGGTGGTTTGGGCATTTAGAGGAGATGGAGTGAAATAGGATGTCAGTGTATAAATCTTAGTAGGCAGAAGAGGTTTCAGTTGTCTTGGTAAAGGTTAGAAGGACGGTGTGAAGGTTTTAAATGGTAAAATCTTGAATATTGAGTAGGTATGTTTGAGTGTACTAAATCAAGGCAAGTGGAGACGAGGAGTTTTAGGGATTAGCAAAAAGTCGTGGAAGTTGGAAGCACAGTGCCTACTCTCTGAAGGTGGTGTGTGGATGTTACAGTTCAGAGGGTTTTAAATTATGATGCTCGCTTGCTTCTGGCATCACAGCTTTTGAAATAATAAAAGTGGTTGTGTGTGCATACATGCACATGTGTGCAAATGTGTACTCGCCTAATTGTGGGTGCAGGGATCAAGTCGAAGCTTGTGTGTGTGTGTGTGTGTGTGTGGGGCCTGTTTGTGTGTGTGTGTGTGTGTGTGTGTGTGTGTGTGTGTGTGTGTGTGTGTGTGTGTGTGTGTGTGGGCGTGTTTGTGTATTTTTTTTTTTTTTTGCACTGCCTTGTTGGGAGACAGCTGGCATGCTAAAAAAAAAAAAAAAAAGAAGCTTGAGCAGATGTTGTTCACATAACTTAAAGCTACTTGTTGCATAAACTTTTTCAGTGTAGTCCTCCTTTGCTACATTAATGATATGGCTGTTCACATTAATTTTCTCAGCTGCTTTGTACCAGTCCCTCACAAGTCTTCCAGCACCATCTCCATCATTTTTTACCTTACATTAGCTGTAATTTATCATTCTTGTATTTCCTATGTCATATATTACTGTACGTAATCATTCATCTGTCTTATCTTGTATGTAAAAAATTGTACAGAAGAATTATACAGCAACCTAATTAACGATGTAATTCCAGGAGAAAATTCTGATAGATACATGAACCAGGACCCAGAAAATAACAAGCGCTCAGCCATCAAGCAAGTAGCTTCTGGACGATTTGGTGTTACTGCATCGTACCTAGCCAATGCTGATGATCTGCAGATTAAAATGGCTCAAGGTGCCAAGCCTGGAGAAGGTGGTGAACTTCCTGGCTATAAGGTTAGTGTTTATTGTAATAAAAATACTCTGTTCAAATCTTCTATGACAGTTTTCTAGGTAAAGGTCACATACTTGCACACATGCTTGCACATCATCACTACATAGGCCTAGAATGCCCTTAGGACCTAGCCAGTAGCCTTAGGGAATCCTGGGACATCCCATTAAGATAAGATTTGTTCTGATTTTTAACCCAGAGGATTAGGCACCCAGGATAACCCAAGACAGTCAGTGCTTCATCGAGGACTGTGTCTTGTTTCCAGTGGGGTCCGTATGTTGTCCCCCAGGATGTGACCCACACCATTTGACTAAAACCCAGGTACCTATATGCTGCTAGGGGGGCAGGGATAGCAGGTGTAAGGATGCATGCCGAATGTTTCTACTCAGCCTGGGATTGAACCAAAGACACTCGGTGTATAAGATACGAGCATTGCCTCCCAGGCCACCATACAAGTTGCTTGACCAGTATAAATTTGATAGGCTGAAATGCCTAACAGGGTATGGTATTAACTTTCAACTTCGAAGTATGCTCGATGCCTCCACCTTCCGTGCCTTAATGATGAGCCCTGTACTTTCATTAGTGGGTCCCATTCACCTGTGGTGGTGATTTCAACTACTGCAGCTTGTCTGACTAGTATGTATATGCTTCATTTACATTAAGATTGAACATCAGCTTCTAGGCTGAGGAACTTATTAGGTGATCTTTCTGCCTTCATACATCATCTGTGCATTGAAATGAAAAAGCTACTGGTAGGCAAAATGTCTTAATGTGCATGTATGTGCACACATTACCTTTACACACATTATTATTGCAGAATAACATATTGCAAATACAGTGGAACCTCAGTTGTCGTCATTAATTCGTTTCAGAAAGTCTGACGAAAACCGAATTCCACGAAAAAACTGAAGCAATATTTCCCATAAGAAATAATGTAAATCCAATTAATCTGTTCCAGACACCCAAAAGTATGAATGAAAAATACATTTTATAGAGAATAGCTATAGTTTTACATACAGAAAACATTGAGAAATGAATATAAATGACTGATGAAATGGATAAATGAACATTTAACATCACTTTTACATTTACAGTGGACCCCCGGTTAACGATATTTTTTCACTCCAGAAGTATGTTCAGGTGCCAGTACTGACCGAATTTGTTCCCATAAGAAATATTGTGAAGTAGATTAGTCCATTTCAGACCCCCAAACATACACGTACAAACGCACTTACATAAATACACTTACATAATTGGTCACATTCGGAGGTAATCGTTATGCGGGGGTCCACTGTATTGAAGACTTGTTGGCGTCTGGAAGACAGCGAGGAGGGAAGAGGGAGGAGAGGTTATCTCTACCACCATCACAACCACTACCACGACCTCTACTAGCATAATTACCACCCTCAACCAGCATCATTACCACCCTCAACCAGCATCATTACCACCCTCAACCAGCATCATTACCACCCTCAACCAGCATCATTACCACCCTCAACCAGCATCATTACCACCCTCTACCAGCATCATTACCACCCTCTACCAGCATCATTACCACCCTCTACCAGCATCATTACCACCCTCTGCCAGCATCATTACCACCCTCTGCCAGCATCATTACCACCCTCTGCCAGCATCATTACCACCTCTGCCAGCATCATTACCACCCTCTACCAGCATCATTACCACCCTCTACCCAGCATCACTAGCACCCTCTACCAGCATCACAGTCATACCCCATCTACCAGCATCACCTACCACCCTCAATACCACCATCACTACCACCCTCAATACCACCATCACTACCACCCTCAATACCACCATCACTACCACCCTCAATACCACCATCACTACCCACACCCTCAATACCACCATCACTACCACCCTCATACCACCCTCAATACCACCATCGCTACCACCCTCAATACCACCATCGCTACCACCCTCAATACCACCATCGCTACCACCCTCAATACCACCATCGCTACCACCCTCAATACCACCATCGCTACCACCCTCAATACCACCATTGCTACCACCCTCAATACCACCATCGCTACCACCCTCAATACCACCATCGCTACCACCCTCTACTGATGAGAAACAAAGCTAGACTGACTCAGGACGGCGGACCACTGTCAACTCAATGAAAACTGAGGTGATGAACGAAAAGGACAGAATTTTGACCCAAAAAAGTCATCGAAAACCAAATTCGATGAAAACCAGGGCAAACAAAGAGGTTCCACTGTATACAGTACAGGTCCGCCATCACAAATCCGGCAATCAGTTATTCGGTTCCTTCAGTTATTCGGCACTAATTTTGGCTAGCATAATTTCAAATTTCCAGGGTCACCACACCAACCTGCTGGTACTGTTTGCTGGCGCTACTTGCTGCATAAGTCATTCCAATTTATTTTTCTCCATTTATTATTATAACCTGCTTACTTTTAGCCCTAGCCATGGTTCCAATGAATAAAAGAAATGCTTCTCATTATGTAAAGCACCAACACGGTACATTGTCCATTAAAGATAAGGTGGGTTTGAAGCCACTGTCGGTTGCCATGAGCTCAGTCTCATGATGCAGGAGAATATGCTTTATTATTATGCTAATACCAACACTACAGCTTATTTGCCTATTTCAATTGATCTAATAGGACATAACAAACAATATAAATAACATAAATGTTAAATACTCCAGAATAAATAATATTTGGCATAATACCAAGCAGTTCGACGGGGTTATGAAGAGGATATGGTATACAAATACCATTCTCCTATCCCTGTCTTGGGGCTTATATTAGAGAAAACAGAGTATAGCACAGGGCTAACTGTGATATAGACTCGTACTCCACAATAAAACTGAAACAAAAAAGTTAATTTCTCTATATAGATTATCACACATAGCAGCATATGTGTAGAGAACCTAGGGTAACCCAAAAGTCAACGTGGCTTATTTCTAGTACCTAGCTTGGGTTAGCCATATATGATTTTTGGTAAATGTTCGATTCCCAGCCAGGGTAGAAACATTAGGCGTGTTTCTTTACACCTGTTGTCTGTTTACCCATCAGTAAATGGGTACCTGGGTGTTATCCTGGGACACTGGCCTAATTTTCTTGAAATACTCTGCATAACAAGCTGGCTTTCTATACAGTAATGTGTCACTCATGTCAGCTAGGCCTGTATATCTTGTACATGTACGTGTAGTAAATAAGGATAATATTATTATTATTATTTTCTCAATTGTTTGTTGGGTTATCTTATTGAAACTTGGGCAATGTATGATGGAAAGGTACTTCTTAACTTACACCAAAAATGAAAGAAATCAGACCATAAATAGCGGAGTTCACTTCTCAGCCATTAGCGGCAGCTTAGCGGTATATTTTTGTATGGCTTTTATGGTTATATTCTCGTTTTTTCAGTCTCATTTGATAGAATGGAAGATATATTACAGAAATAGATAAGATTTTGATTGATTTCATGATGAAAAGTACCTTTAAATTGCGCTCACAGCAGCGAAAATGTTCTATTCCTTAGCGAAGCTCAAGAGTAAACAATACCTGTCTGCCTGCCAGTCCAAATTCCAATACGGAGTCAAGAATGGGTTGACATTATTTATACAATTATTACAATAATGCAGCAAGAGTAATATAAGAGGGGCCTGTAGCTGTGACTAATGAACAGAGAAAATGTTATTTTAGTGACAGGAATGTCTGCATTGTTTATTCTGGACCCTACTTTGAAATTGGCATCTGTTGAAATTGGCCAAATTGCCAATTTCTGACCACTTTATTGGGTAGTTGAAATAAGTGAATGGTTGGTTTCTCGTACTCAGTTGACAGACTAGAAGTAAGTTTATTCAGGTATACACAAATACAGTTACATAGACTATCATACATAGCAGCGTATGTATAGAGAACCTAGGATAACCCATAAAAGTCAGTGACTTATTTCCAGTACCTGGCTTGGGCTTGTCATATATGATTTTTGGTAAATATTTTTTTTTCTAGATTGTTTGTTGGGTTATCTCATTGAAACTTGGGCAATGTATGATGGAAAGATGCTTCTTAACATACAACAAAAGTAAAAAAGACGGACGATAAATAAGGGAGTTCACTTCTCAGCCATTAGCCGCCTCTTTGCGGTATATTTTCGCATGGTTTTTATGGTTGTATTTTTTTTTTTTTTTTTTTTTTTTTTTTTTTTTTTTTTTTTTTTTTTTTTTTTTTTGTCTCGTTTGATAGAATGAAAGATTTATTTTTATTTATTATCACACCGGCCGATTCCCACCAAGGCAGGGTGGCCCGAAAAAGAAAGACTTTCACCATCATTCACTCCATCACTGTCTTGCCAGAAGGGTGCTTTACACTACAGTTTTTAAACTGCAACATTAACACCACCTCCTTCGAGTGCAGGCACTGTACTTCCCATCTCCAGGACTCAAGTCCGGCCTGCCGGTTTCCCTGAATCCCTTCATAAATGTTACTTTGCTCACACTCCAACAGCACGTCAAGTATTAAAAACCATTTGTCTCCATTCACTCCTATCAAACACGCTCACGCATGCCTGCTGGAAGTCCAAGCCCTCGCACACAAAACTCCTTTACCCCCTCCTCCAACCCTTCCTAGGCCGACCCCTACCCTGCCTTCCTTCCACTACAGACTGATACACTCTTGAAGTCATTCTGTTTCGCTCCATTCTCTTACATGTCCGAACCACCTCAACAACCCTTCCTCAGCCCTCTGGACAACAGTTTTGGTAATCCGCACCTCCTCCTAACTTCCAAACTACGAATTCTCTGCATTATATTCACACCACACATTGCCCTCAGACATGACATCTCCACTGCCTCCAGCCTTCTCCTCGCTGCAACATTCATCACCCATGCTTCACACCCATATAAGAGCGTTGGTAAAACTATACTCTCATACATTCCCTCTTTGCTCCAAGGACAAAGTTCTTTGTCTCCACAGACTCCTAATTGCACCACTCACTCTTTTTTCCCTCATCAATTCTATGATTCACTCTCTTTCATAGACCCATCTGCTGACACGTCCACTCCCAAATATCTGAATACGTTCACCTCCTCCATACTCTCTCCCTCCAATCTGATATTCAATCTTTCATCACCTAATCTTTTTGTTATCCTCATAACCTTACTCTTTCCTGTATTCACCTTTAATTTTCTTCTTTTGCACACCCTACCAAATTCATCCACCAATCTCTGCAACTTCTCTTCAGAATCTCCCAAGAGCACAGTGTCATCAGCAAAGAGCAGCTGTGACAACTCCACTTTGTGTGTGATTCTTTATCTTTTAACTCCACGCCTCTTGCCAAGATCCTCGCATTTACTTCTCTTACAACCCCATCTATATATATTAAACAACCACGGTGACATCACACATCCTTGTCTAAGGCCTACTTTTACTGGGAAAAAATTTCCTCTTTCCTACATACTCTAACTTGAGCCTCACTATCCTCGTAAAAACTCTTCACTGCTTTCAGTAACCTACCTCCTACACCATACACTTGCAACATCTGCCACATTGCCCCCCTATCCACCCTGTCATTACGCCTTTTCCAAATCCATAAATGCCACAAAGACCTCTTTAGCCTTATCTAAATACTGTTCACTTATATGTTTCACTGTAAACACCTGGTCCACACACCCCTACCTTTCCTAAAGCCTCCTTGTTCATCTGCTATCCTATTCCGTCTTACTCTTAATTCTTTCAATTATAACTCTACCATACACTTTACCAGGTACACTCAACAGACTTATCCCCCTATAATTTTTGCACTCTCTTTTATCCCTTTGCCTTTATACAAAGGAACTATGCATGCTCTCTGCCAATCCCTAGGTACCTTACCCTCTTCCATACATTTATTAAATTAATTGCACCAACCACTCCAAAACTATATCCCACCTGCTTTTAACATTTCTATCTTTATCCCATCAATCCCGGCTGCCTTACCCCCTTTCATTTTACACTAACTGCCTCACGAACTTCCCCCACACTCACACTGGCTCTTCTCACTCCTACAAGATGTTATTCCTCCTTTCCCTATACACGAAATCACAGCTTCCCTATCTTCATCAACATTTAACAATTCCTCAAAATATTCCTTCGTCTTCCAATACCTCTAACTCTCCATTTAATAACTCTCCTCTCCTATTTTTAACTGACAAATCATTTGTTCTCTAGGCTTCTTAACTTGTTAATCTCACTCAAAACTTTTTCTTATTTTCAACAAAATTTGTTGATAACATCTCACCCACTCTCTCATTTGCTCTCTTTTTACATTGCTTCACCACTTCTCTTAACTTCTCTCTTTTTCTCCATATACTCCTCCCTCCTTGCATCACTTCTACTTTGTAAAAAACTTCTCATACGCTAACTTTTTCTCCCTTACTACTCTCTTCACATCATCATTCCACAATCGCTCCTCTTCCCTCCTGCACCCACTTTCCTGTAACCACAACTTTCTGCTGAACACTCTAACACTACATTTTTAAACCTACCCATACCTCTTCGACCCCATTGCCTATGCTCTCATTAGCCCATCTATCCTCCAATAGCTGTTTATATCTTACCCTAACTGCCTCCTCTTTTAGTTTATAAACCTTCACCTCTCTCTTCCCTGATGCTTCTATTCTCCTTGTATCCCATCTACCTTTTACTCTCAGTGTAGCTACAACTAGAAAGTGATCTGATATTCTGTGGCCCCTCGATAAACATGTACATCCTGAAGTCTACTCAACAGTCTTTTATCTACCAATACATAATCCAACAAACTACTGTCATTTCGCCCTAACATCATATCGTGTATACTTATTTATTCTCTTTTTCTTAAAATATGTATTACCTATACTAAACCCCTTTCTATACAAAGTTCAATCAAAGGGCTCCCATTATCATTTACACCTGGCACCCCAAACTTACCTACCACACCCTCTCTAAAAGTTTCCTACTTTAGCATTCAAGTCCCCTACCACAATTACTCTCTCACTTGGTTCAAAGGCTCCTATACATTCACTTAACATCTCCCAAAATCTCTCTCTCTCCTCTGCATTCCTCTCTTCTCCAGGTGCATACACGCTTTTTATGACCCACTTCTCGCATCCAACCTTTACTTTAATCCACATAATTCTTGAATTTACACATTCATATTCTCTTTTCTCCTTCCATAACTGATCATTTAACATTACTGCTACCCCTTCCTTTGCTCTAACTCTCTCAGATACTCCAGATTTAATTCCCATTTATTTCCCCCCACTGAAACTCTCCTACCCCCTTCGCTTTGTTTCGCTTAGGGCCAGGACATCCAACTTCTTTCCATTCATAACATCAGCAATCATCTGTTTCTTGTCATCCGCACTACATCCACGCACTTTAAGCAACCCAGTTTTATAAAGTTTTTCTTCTTCTCTTTTTTAGTAATTGTATACAGGAGAAGGGGTTACTAGCCCATTGCTCCCGGCATTTTAGTCGCCTATACGACACGCATGGCTTACGGAGGAAAGATTCTTTTCCACTTCCCCATGGACAATAGAAGAAATAAAAAAGAACAAGAGCTATTTAGAAAAAGGAGAAAAACCTAGATGTATGTATATATATATATGCATGTGCGTGTCTGTGAAGTGTGACCAAAGTGTAAGTAGGAGTAGCAAGATATCCCTGTTATCTTAGCGTGTTTATGAGACAGAAAAAGAAACCAGCAATCCTACCATCATGCAAAACAGTTACAGGTTTTTGTTTCACAGTCATCTGGCAGGACGGTAGTACTTCCCTGGGTGGTTGCTGTCTACCAACCTACTACCTATGGAAGATATATTACAGAAATAGACATGATTTTGATTGCTTTCATGACGAAAAGTACCTTGAAATTGAGCTCAAAGTAGCGGAAATGTTCAATTTTTGCCGATGTTCAATGAACTTTGTGTAAGTCAAGTTGGTTAATTTTATTAAGTATATTCTAACCTAACCAATGTAATCCGGCAAACTCGGTAATCCGGCCCACTACAGGTCCCAATGATGCCGGATTTGTGATGGAGGACCTGTACTATGTCGGTTGCTAGATAGCAACCATGTAGGGAGGTGCTACCATGATAATGTTATGTTGGTAGGACTGTTGATTTTTAAATCTTAACTTCTGCTGTACTTGTGTTCAGTTTAGATATGTTTACTGTGTGCCTAGGGAGCCTGGTCTCAGACTGGACCACAGGGAAGATTATCCCCAGAACCCCAGATAACATGCATGTTTGCCTTGTAGATGAATGGTTCAGAGAACTGACATGTTGATAAATTAGACACATATGCAACTCTTGGGTATCTTAAATAAAGATACCCAAGAGTTGCACATGTCTAATTTATCATGTTTGCCTTGATAAACAGTACTGTACATAGTGTATATAATACCTCTCTGAAGGAGGGGTGTTAATGTTTGTTTTATAACTAATGTAAGCGTGCCTCTCGCAAGACAGTGATGGATGTGAACGAGGAATGTTCTTACTTTTCGTGCCACCCTGCCTGGTGGGAAGAGGCGATGTGTTAATAAAAAAATAAAAGAAATAATACAATATATAAAAGTGATAAATTGGCTTTTTCTTTCTTAGGTTACTGAAGATATTGCTAAAACCCGCTACTCTGTTGCTGGAGTAGGTCTGATATCTCCTCCACCTCACCATGATATCTACAGCATTGAAGACTTGGCTGAACTCATTTATGATCTTAAATGTGCTAATCCAAATGCCCGAATCTCTGTCAAGCTGGTGTCTGAAGTTGGTGTTGGTGTGGTAGCCTCTGGAGTGGCAAAGGTAAGAAGCATTTGGCACTATCTAAAATGCTGGGAATATGCAGTTTTAATGCAAATACTTTAATTCATAGAGATTTGATTTCAATATTTAAACTTGATTGGGCATCCTTGTGCTCTTGTATAACTTTTTTTTTTTTTCAGTGGTCCGTTGGTATAACCTCTGTGCCATTTCTCTTGTATATTTCTTTACTGCTAAACATTTTTTTATAGTATCAGTTTATTACCTAATAAACTTTTATCTTGCACCAGTTGGCCTCTTTCAAAGACCAGGCCTTTTGTTATGGATACTAATTATTCGACAAATAAATATGCACTATTGTACACTGGCTAAAGTGATACAATGATAGACTTGCAGTTGCAAGGTTACCAGTTTGGTCCCAGTACTCCTTTTAATATTTGTATTTCTTCTTTCTTTCAACACACCGACCGTATCCCACCAAGGCGGGGTGGCCCAAAAGGAAAAACGAAAGCTCCTTTTACATTTAGTAATATATACAGGAGAAGGGGTTACTAGCCCCTTGCTCCTGGCATTTTAGTCGCCTCTTACAACATTCATGGCTTATGGAGGAAGAATTCTGTTCCACTTTCCCATGGAGAGAACAGGAAATAAACAAGAACAAGAACTAGTAAGAAAATAGAAGAAAATGCAGAGGGGTGTGTACATATATATATGTTTGTACATGTATGTGTACTAGGTAGTAGGTTGGTAGACAGGGACGTACTACCGTCCTGCCAAGTGAATGTAAAATGAAAGCCTGTAATTGTTTTACATGATGGTAGGATTGCTGGTGTTTTTTCTGTCTCGTAAACATGCAAGGTTTCAGGTACGTCTTGCTACTTCTGCTTACACTTAGGTCACACTACACATACATGTACAAGCATATGTATACACACCCCTCTGGGTTTTCTTCTATTTTCTTACTAGTTCTTGTTCTTGTTTATTTCCTCTTATCTCCATGGGGAAGTGGAACAGAATTCTTCCTCCGTAAGCTATGCGTGTTGTAAGAGGCGACTAAAATGCCAGGAGCAGGGGCTAGTAACCTTCTCCAGTATATATTACTAAATGTGAAAGGAGAAACTTTTGTTTTTCCTTTTGGGCCACCCCGCCTCAGTGGGATACGGCCGGTGTGTTGAAAGAAAGAAAGAACACGTATGTGTAGTGTGACCTAAGTGTAAGAAGTGGCAAGACGTACCTGAAATCTTGCATGTTTACAAGACAGAAAAATGGACACCAGCAATCCTACCATCATGTTAAACAATTACAGGCTTTCGTTTTACACTCACTTGGCAGGATGGTAGTACCTCTCTGGGCGGTTGCTGTCTATCAACCTACTACCTAGATATTTGTATTTGTATTTTTTTTATTTCAGGGTAAAGCTGAGCACATAACCATCTCTGGTCACGATGGCGGTACTGGAGCCAGCAGCTGGACAGGTATCAAAAGTGCAGGTCTTCCTTGGGAACTTGGCATATCAGAGACTCACCAGACTCTCGTCCTGAATAATCTGAGGTCTCGGGTTGTTCTACAGGCTGATGGACAGATTCGCTGTGGTAAGTCATATTATTAAATAGTTTGTTTTATATAATGCTGCTACTTTCTGCATTTGGATGAAGTTGACACGAGTAGATTATTTAAAAGTTTGTTACCCCATTAAATTACTGAACTGTAATGAATTTGATTTGGTTGTTAAAAATGTTGTTAGTTTAAAACCAGTAGTTCAGCATCTATCTTAATGCTTTATTGGTAAACCTGGAATTGTTGATAGTCCAATGTTTTTTGCCGAATTATTAGTGACACTTGTGCAGGATCCAAAAAATGCCACTGTGGCAACATTGAGCATTTTTGCAGAATTTTAAGAATAGTCTACTGTGAGTCATTGAAGGAAGTTCATTGTAAAAACAAAATATCAAATACTTTGAGAGAAATGGATAGAATCATAGGTTAAAACCAAAAATGTGTATTCTAGGGATGGATGTTGTGATTGCCGGTATGTTGGGTGCTGACGAGTTTGGCTTCAGCACTGCACCACTTATTGTTATGGGCTGTACCATGATGAGGAAATGTCACATGAACACTTGTCCGGTTGGCATTGCTACTCAGGACCCTGAACTGAGGAAGAAATTTGAGGGCAAACCAGAGCATGTGGTTAATTATTTATTCATGTTAGCTGAAGAGGTAAGATGATTTTTAGCCTTAGATTTTTTTTTTACAGTGTTGATGTTTTTTAATTGGCATCAAATTCATCACCTAGTCATTTTAGAAGAGATTCTGTTTGTTTGAATGAGAAATTAATAAGATAAAAGCATTATTGGAAATTACAAAATGATCATTAACCATGCAAGGTATTGGTGAACTTCAGGTACTGGTTCTGCTTAACTCATGACCAACTGATGTGAAATAGCTTTGTCATACTTGCTGGATGAACTCTTAAGACCTACTTCTGTTAATTCATTGTCCATTTCTTTAACCTGAAATAAAAAAAAAAAATTGAAATTGGACTATTCCTTCATGTAACACTCCTTATGTTGAAGTGATTTGGGAGATTTCTGTGGCCTGTTTTGGGTGTATAATTCGCTCACACCCTCTTGCTCATGATTCGTCCCTAACAGAGCCTATCCTTGTCTACCCTGCATGAGAATTTTTTTTTTTTTTTTGTATTGTACCAGGATTATACTGAAGTCTTGTTCTACCACAGACAGAATGCCTAGCTCTAGCACTTTGTGTATTAATCATTCCCCTAAACTTCAGCACCAGTCTGGATACACGCCTTTGGATTTGCCTGAGTTTCTATTAATTTTTTGCTTTGTGAGTGCTCCATTCATGTGCAGTATACTTAAAATATTGCACATTTGAGTTGAAGTGTTTTGAAAATATCTGTCAGGGTTTCTGAATGTCCTTAAATTTGCAGGCTTAGTCTGTGCTGATTAGGTTTTGTTCCGAGTGTCTGAGAACAGGTTTAAAGCAATGGTCATTAGTGTCTACCTTTTAATTCTTGATGTAAGCATTTTTTTGACCATGTAGTACTGTTTGGGATCCTTTTCCCATGTAACTTTTCAAATTTTATTTCAGTGTAGCTAAACCTCACTAACCATTTATTCAATCAGTTTTGACGTCTGTTTGGGTCTTCGTGTAACTGGCTTCATCTACTGTTTTCTCTTCTCATTTTTTTGTGTGCAAGTGCATTTTATTACTAAATAGATATTAATTGCTTTTCTTAGCAATCTGAATTGATTATTAACAGGTACAATAAGTCCTCTGCTTACGAACACGTTGAGAATCTTTCGTATTGCATATATTATTGGGTTGTAAATGCTGCAGCGAGGAGGCGGTTAGAGGCAGTGGAGATGTCCTGTCTAAGGGCTGTGTGTGGTGTAAATATTATGCAGAGAACTCAGTGTGTGGAAATTAGGAGAAGGTGTGGAGTTAATAAAAAAGTATTAGTCAGAGGGCTGATGAGGGGTTGTTGAGGTGGTTTGGTCATTTAGAGAGAATAGATGAAAGTAGAATGACATGGAGAGCATTTGAATCTGTAGGGAAAGGAAGGCAGGGTAGGGGTTGTCCTTGAAAAGGTTGGAGGGAGGGGGTAAAGGAGGTTTTGTGGGCATGGGGCTTGGGCTTCTAGCCAGCATGTGTGAGCATGTTAGATAGGAGTGAATGGAGATGAATGGTAATTGAGACCTGACAAGCTGTTGGAGTGTGAGCAGGGTAATATTGAGTGAAGGGATTCAGGTAAACCAGTTATTTTTATATAGCTGGACTTGAGTACTGGAAATGGTAAGTACAATGCCTGCACTTTAAAGGAGGGGTTTGGGATATTGGCAGTTTGGAGGGATATGTTGTGTGTCTTTATATGTATATGCTGCTAAACTGTTGTGTTCTGGGCACCTCTGCAAAAGTGATTATGTATGAGTGAGGTGAAAGTGTTGAATGATGATGAAAGTATTCTCTTTTTGGGTATTTTTTCTTTCTTTTTCGGTCACCCTGCCTCAGTGGGAGACGGCCAACTTGTTAAAAAAAAAATTATTATATCATTATTATACACAATTCAGGAGGTCCTCAGTGTGTTGGTAAGTTGAGGACTTATTGTACTTAGTGTGTGGATTTTTAATACACTATCTCAAGCAGTTATGTTGAAGTTGAGATGTTTGTCTTCAGATGTTCCTCTTGGTACACTTAATATACTTTGACAGCAGTGATGATTTTTTCACTGCTCTTAGTGTACCCTTGTTTAAATCATTATGCTTAGTGTATAATCAGTCTTTTTTAGTACAATGCTTCATTTTAAGAGTTGTCTTGACATTTTAGCATGTACAGGTCCGCCATCACAAATCCGGCAAGCAGACATCTAGTTCCATCAGTTATTCGGCACTAATTTTGGCTAGCATAATTTCAAACTTCCAGGGTCGCCACACCAACCTACTGGTACTGTTTGATGGCGCTACTTGCTGCATAAGTCATTCCAATTTCTTTTTCTTTATTGTTATAACCTGCTTGCTTTTAGCTCTACCCGTGGTTCCAATGAATAAGAAATGCTTCTCGTTGTGTAAAGCACATACACAGTACATTGTCCATAAAAGATAAGGTGGCTTTGAAGACACTGTCGGTTGCCATGAGTTCAGTCTCATGATGCAGGTGAATGTGCTTTATTATTACACTGATATCAACAGTGACTGGTGAAATGATGAAGTAAAGGGTGTGATAAAAGAGAAAAAGGTAGCTTATGAGAGGTTTTTACAAAGCAGAAGTGTTATAAGTAGAGCAGAGTATATGGAGAGTAAAAGAAAGGTGAAGAGAGTGGTGAGAGAGTGCAAAAGGAGAGCAGATGATAGAGTGGGAGAGGCACTGTCAAGAAATTTTAATGAAAATAAGAAAAAATTTTGGAGTGAGTTAAACAAGTTAAGAAAGCCTAGGGAAAGTATGGATTTGTCAGTTAAAAACAGAGTAGGGGAATTAGTAGATGGGGAAAGGGAGGTGTTAGGTAGATGGCGAGAATATTTTGAGGAACTTAAATGTTGAGGAAGAAAGGGAGGCGGTAATTTCATGCACTGGCCAGGGAGGTATACCATCTTTTAGGAGTGAAGAAGAGCAGAATGTAAGTGTGGTGGAAGTACGTGAGGCATTACGTAGAATGAAAGGAGGTAAAGCAGCTGGAACTGATGGGATCATGACAGAAATGTTAAAAGCAGGGGAGGATATAGTGTTGGAGTGATTGTTACTTTTGTTTAATAAATGTATGAAAGAGGGGAAGGTACCTAGGGATTGGCGGAGAGCATGTATAGTCCCTTTATATAAAGGGAAAGGGGACAAAAGAGATTGTAAAAATTATAGAGGAATAAGTTTAATGAGTATGCCAGGAAAAGTATACGGTAGGGTTATAATTGAAAGAATTAGAGGCAAGACAGAATGTAGGATTGCGGATGAGCAGGGAGGCTTCAGAGTGGGTAGGGGATGTGTAGATCAAGTGTTTACATTGAAGCATATATTATTTTTTTTTTATTATCACACTGGCCGATTCCCACCAAGGCAGGGTGGCCCGAAAAAGAAAAACTTTCACCATCATTCACTCCATCACTGTCTTGCCAGAAGGGTGCTTTACACTACAGTTTTTAAACTGCAACATTAACACCCCTCCTTCAGAGTGCAGGCACTGTACTTCCCATCTCCAGGACTCAAGTCCGGCCTGCCGGTTTCCCTGAATCCCTTCATAAATGTTACTTTGCTCACACTCCAACAGCACGTCAAGTATTAAAAACCATTTGTCTCCATTCACTCCTATCAAACACGCTCACGCATGCCTGCTGGAAGTCCAAGCCCCTCGCACACAAAACCTCCTTTACCCCCCCCCTCCAACCCTTCCTAGGCCGACCCCTACCCCGCCTTCCTTCCACTACAGACTGATACACTCTTGAAGTTATTCTGTTTCGCTCCATTCTCTTTTACATGTCCGAACCACCTCAACAACCCTTCCTCAGCCCTCTGGACAACAGTTTTGGTAATCCCGCACCTCCTCCTAACTTCCAAACTACGAATTCTCTGCATTATATTCACACCACACATTGCCCTCAGACATGACATCTCCACTGCCTCCAGCCTTCTCCTCGCTGCAACATTCATCACCCATGCTTCACACCCATATAAGAGCGTTGGTAAAACTATACTCTCATACATTCCCCTCTTTGCCTCCAAGGACAAAGTTCTCTGTCTCCCAAGACTCCTAAGTGCACCACTCATTCTTTTTCCCTCATCAATCTATGATTCACCTCATCTTTCATAACCATCCGCTGACACGTCCACTCCCAAATATCTGAATACGTTCACCTCCTCCATACTCCTCTCCCTCCAATCTGATATTCAATCTTTCATCACCTAATCTTTTTGTTATCCTCATAACCCTTACTCTTTCCTATATTCACCTTTAATTTTCTTCTTTTGCACACCCTACCAAATTCATCCACCAATCTCTGCAGCTTCTCTTCAGAATCTCCCAAGAGCACAGTGTCATCAGCAAAGAGCAGCTGTGACAACTCCCACCCTGTGTGTGATTCTTTATCTTTTAACTCCACGCCTCTTGCCAAGACCCTCGCATTTACTTCTCTTACAACCCCATCTATAAATATTAAACAACCACGGTGACATCACACATCCTTGTCTAAGGCCTACTTTTACTGGGAAAAAATTTCCCTCTTTCCTACATACTCTAACTTGAGCCTCACTATCCTCGTAAAAACTCTTCACTGCTTTCAGTAACCTACCTCCTACACCATACACTTGCAACATCTGCCACATATATGTGGCAGTATTTATGTGAACAGTATTTAGATAAAGGGAGGGAAGTTTTTATTGCATTTATGGATTTAGAAAAGGCATATGATAGAGTGGATAGAGGAGCAATGTGGCAGATGTTGCAAGTATATGGAATAGGTGGTAAGTTACTAAATGCTGTAAAGAGCTTTTATGAGGATAGCGAGGCTCAGGTTAGGGTGTGTATAAGAGAGGGAGACTACTTCCCGGTAAAAGTAGGTCTTAGGCAGGGATGTGTAATGTCACCATGGTTTAATATATTTATAGATGGGGTTGTAAAAGAAGTAAATGCTAGGGTGTTCAGTAGAGGGGTTGGGTTAAATTATGGGGAACCAAATTCAAAATGGGAATTGACACAGTTACTTTTTGCTGAT